ATGACAAGTTACACCTGTCAAAGACCTTGTTTTTCAATTTGTACAATTGCCAGGCTGCTGTCTGTCCTACTTAGTTCGCATATAATTTTATTAAAGAGTTTTAATTATATTACTATAAACTAATGCAAACTAAACTTAAAGAGAATAAAAAGTAAAAAATGCAAAAAAAGGAAAGAGAAAGAAGAAAATAAAAGTAAGAGCATAAGAAAAAGAAAAATATATTAAAAAAATGATTCCAGCCTTCATCACAAACATAAATAAATTTAGTGATTCTCTATGGTTATAAACATTTATCACTTCATCCAAACTTACACCTTTTATCTGTAAACAAATCCATGCAACATCATCTTTTTAGTCCTGGTGTCACCATAAAATCTCTAAGAAGTTCTAATAATCTTGTTTTAACATTGATAAAAAAACTCAACTTTATAATCTTCCTTTTTATTTCTGATCATCTTAATCTTTAGTTCATTCAAATATTGTCACAGGATTTATTTTTCTCCATTCCTTCTTTGTCCCATCACACACAGTTCTTCAAGGCTTTAATAAGCCTCTTTTGTAAATCAAATAGGGAAACATTATCCAGGCCACTCCCTTGATTTGTATTTCTCTTCTAAATTTTTAATTCTTGGCCAGTTTCTTTAGTAAATCCAGTGAAACATCCTTTTTTTAAGTAATTGACTTGGTCTGTCACTTATACATCCATTTTTGAAACCATCTCTATCTTGTAAGATTAAATTTGTTCTACATCTGTCATTTCTTCAATGACACTGAACATGTGGACACCTATTCATAGAAGCAGGAATAATGACTGAGATTGTTGAAATTGTAGCTAGCATTTTCTGAATTCATTTTTCAAAAGCCGCCTTCGTTATAACATTATAACAATGAATTTTGCAATATTCTACAGCAGTGATGGCGAACCTTTTAGAGCAGTGTTTCTCAACCTTGACAATTTTAAGGCATGTGGACTTCAACTCCCAGAATTCCACAGCCAGCAATTGCTGGCTGGGGAATTCTGGGAGTTGAAGTCCACATGCCTTAAAATTGTCAAGGTTGAGAAACACTGTTTTAGAGACCGAGTGCCCAAACTGCAACCCAAAAACCACTTATTTATTGCCGGGTTCCAGGTGGACGTGGTCCACTTGGTGGGCGTGGCTGTGGTGGTCATGGCAGATTGAGTGGGTGTGACCAAGGTGGGCATGATCACCTCGATGTTGCTCGTGGGGAGGACGCCAGTGGGAGCCGGGCAGGGATGGAGATTCAGGGGGTCTCTGGCAGGTAGGGCAGTAGGCAGGAGGCTCATCCTGTGGGGTGAAGCGAGGCAAGGTGAGGTAGGGTGGGGGTGCCATTGTCACAGGGCAAGGTGAGGCAGGGGCCGGGGCGGCTGCTGCCTGACACCATCAGCCCCTGCACACAGAGGCCAGCGAGCGCATGGGTGCTGGGATGCCATGTAGGACCTCGGCCATGTGGGACCTCAGCAAGTTAGTGGGCAGCTGGTTGAAGAGGGATGGTTGCCATCTCCGGGGCATGATGCACGTGCCCACAGAGAGGGCTCTGAGTGCCACCTCTGGCTCGTGTGCCATAGGTTTGCCACCACTGTTCTACAGACTTGTAACTCTTTCCTCTACTTAACGTAATTCCCTCTAGTGTCCAGTTTTTGAAATCATGAAATTGCTTATCTTTCTTTTGTCTTGTAAAAAATCCAGACAGAACCTATTTCTCATAAGAAGTGTTTGGGAGCCCTTTACAGTAGGGGTCCCCAACCCCCTGGGCCGTGGACCAGTACCGGGCCGCAGCATGCCAGCAATCAGTCCGCACAAACAAGCAAAACCCCATCCATGGGATGCAGGCAGCACACAAAACCAGCCCCCCTCCGGTATGCGGAAAAACCTCTCTCCACGGAATAGGTCCCTGGTGCCCAAAAGGTTGGGGACCTCTGCTCTACAGTATCACAAGAATAGCACCTCCTGACAGAGTATAAGTAGTCTTAATGGTTAAGAGCAACATTCTCTGTATGTCTACTGTTAAAAGGGTTCTCTGTGAAAAAATTACAGTCCATTTTTATAGCATCCAGAGTAAGTTTTCCACCCAAAAATCCCGAATTTCTTCGAAAAGAAGTTATAGGGAAAATAGGTAATGAACTGAGTTCAGATCCAGAGCTGTCTCCCTCAGTAGTCATAATAGCAGGTGTGATGGTTGGCAGGTAATCTACTGTGGCATCCTCAAGTGGATTAACCAAGCATTCAGAAAACACTTGACTTTCACTTGGATCCGCAGGTATAAATTTCTTGTACAAAGATGGCAGCTGATGGTTTCTAGTATTATCTTTTATATTGGTAGTCAAAGAATTGCAGTTGCTAGTTCTCATAGATAGTCCTTCTGTCTCAGTATTTTTAAATATGTGCACATCCATAAAAGCTAGGCACTGTCTTTTAATTAAGGCTTCCTTTATTTGTAGAGTTTCAGGGTCTTCGGATCTGACTGGGTTGCTTAAAAGCTCTGTAGAATTGGAACTTGATTCATCCTTCATGAAGAAATTGAGAAAAAAAAAGTGAGTTTGATAATATAACCTACCTCTCTTTTTTTAAAAAGCAAACATTTTTGCACAGATGTCACCTTTATATAACTGCTTGGCACAATTTGACATTCTTGTATAAAGTGGGGGTTTTCACCCACAATTTTTAACAGATTCTGAGGTTTGTATGAGAATGTCACATCAATAAATTTGGCTTGTGTTTTTCATCCAAGGAAATCTATTTTCGATAAGAGGAATCCTTAGCAAACTGAAGCCATGTTATTTATATTTTTACTCTTCTTTAAATATCTCTGCAAATTTAAGGAAGATCTATTCAGAGACAAACATCAATCAGCTGCATTGGAGTTATCAAGTAGGTTGGTCTACCTTTGTAGATGTAAATTCTTTTGCCCATGTAGAGTTGGCTGGATCTGGATACCAACCAAATACCAGAGCAGAAAAGAGAGAGAAAATCCTAGTGGGCAAAAAACAACAACAATGCAGCTGTTAGTTTTAAGCGATAATAATGCCACACCTGTGGGGTGTGAAAATATCTCTAGAAATTATTAAGCTAGACAGAACTACTGTATATGAGACTCTTCTGGCACAAGTACAATATATTTGCTTGTGAAGATGGATGGAGGTTTCTGCCCTATGAATTGTGAAGATCTGATGTGGCCTGCTTAAGGTAGCAGATCTGTGTTATCTTAAAAGTGCAAAAACCAAAGCCAATGTGGTCTAGTGCAGGGCTTTTCAACCTTTCCACCCATTGTACCACTTTTAGGATATGGCAACATCCAAGTACCACCAGTCGCCTAGCAAGGTGTTAAAAATTTGATGACCAAAAAAAAAAAAAAAGGAAAAAAGTGATAAAGTACAGGTAATCCTCAACTTACAACAGTTCGCTTAGTGACTGTTCAAAGTTACAATGGCACTGAAAAAAGTGCCCCCCAAGCCACAGCCGAGCAAGACACCTGCCTGCCCACCTGGCCGCGCTCTTCCTCCTGTCCAAGGTTTTCATTGTTCTGAGCATTTCTGTTGAGGATTCGCAGCAGAGGTGGGGTAGGGGGGTGTTTGGTTTTTATTCCCCCCTGTCTGCTGGGTGGTTGCAGCAGGTTTTGGTCACTTCACATGACCCTGGGACACTCTGACCATCATAAATATGAATCAGTTGCCAAGCATCTGAATGTAAATCACAAGACCCTGGAGATACTGCAATATTCCAGCTGATCGGAGCTTCTTCTGGGCTCAGCAGAAGCGCCGAGCTCCAGCTGGAGCCTGGCGCTGATCCTGGTGCTTCCACTGAGCCCTGACAGCCCCGAAGAAGCACTGATCAGCCGGAAAGCTGCACTGATCCTGGCGCTTCCGCTGAGCCCTGACAGCCCTGCAGCTCCAGTCATCTCTTGCTCAGGCTTGTGCGGTGCTGCCACCAGTTCAGCTCATTCCCCTCCCCCGCTACCACTTTTCTAGGATGGTCACGTACCACCTGCCAGGTGCCAATGCACCACAGGTGGTACCCGTACCACTGGTTGAAAAGCCCTGGTCTACTGCTTTAAGGCAGCGGTCCCCAACCTTTATGGCTCCATAGACTGGCAGCTGGGGGGGGGGGAGGAAATGGTTAGGACTAGAAGACCTCCAGGGTCCCTTCCAACTTTGTTATTCTATTTGTTCAACACCTGATTTATAAAAATGCAATAAAAGCAGGATATAAATTAAATAAATGAATAAATATTTACTAGTGATTACTTTTCTCTCTCTTCCAAAAGCAAGTTTTAGAAGGTGGACACTTTATAAGCGTTTGATGGGCACCCTTCTCTGCATATCTTGATATCTCCACATAGCTGTATGTTTTCCTAAGCCTTTTCTGGTTGGCTTTTGGGCTCCTAGTGGAGTAGCAAACAATAGAGGGGCTGCTACAATAAAGGAAAGAAGAAGCAACTAACAGCTAGAAAGATAACATTAGAGCATCCGTGTTTAAAACAGGGTCTTTTTGTAGCCTGCTTCTTTGGCTTCCAAAGATGAAACATTATACCAATGTTTCGGTATCTCATACATAGCTAAAAATAAGGAGATGAAATGTACGGGCACATTGGAACACATCAGGACAAAGTGCAGTTAAAAGTGGAGCACTGAGCAGAAGCATCATGAAGAATGAATGTAGCTTTTAAAATTAAATAAAAACCATTCGTCTTAACTTCATCATACATGTCTCAACTCATTCTGGATATTTTTTACAACCAATGGAGTACTTTCCCATATGAATTATCCTATTTAATTCCATTTTTACTATGTTCTTATTTCATGTCACTCTACATCTAACAAATACTAATCATTGAAAGAAAGCCAGTTTGGTGTATTGGTTAAAGCAGTGTTTCCCAAACTTGACAATTTTAAGGCATGTGGACTTCAACTCCCAGAATTCCACAGCCAGCGTTGCTGGCTGTGGAATTCTGGGAGTTGAAGTCCACATGCCTTAAAATTGTCAAGTTTGGGAAACACTGGTTAAAGCATCAAACCAAAAACCCGGAGATTGTGAGTTCTAGTCCAGCCTTAGGTCCAAAACCGCTGGGTGACCTTGGGCCAGTCAAGTTTCTCTCAGCCTTGGGAAGGAGACAATAAAGACAAAGAAACTTCTGAAAAACCTTGCCAAGAAAACTTGTCCCAGGCAATCTCTGAGAACTAGACATGATTGAACAGAAAAAAGAAAAAAAACATCTAAAAAAAATTTATGATCACTTACTTTTGCCGAACAATGGGTACACAGCAAATGAAGACTGAAAGTCCAATAATAATGAAAATAGCTACAATTGGAACCCGGTCAGAAACATCTATAAATCCATCTGCTACGTTAAGACAAAAGCACAGGTATTTTAAAAAAATACAACTTCTATTAACCAGAATTTAAAAATCTGATTTCTTTTTTAAGACAATTATTTATTTAATTTATTTAGTCTCTTACTACTGTTTTGGATGAGATCCATGACACATTACTCTGTAAGACACATATGTTACTACAGGTAGTTTCAACTTACAACTGGTTGCTTTAACGAAAACAAAATCACAACGGGCTCAGAACGGATGGTTTATAGCCCATAAAGCACTTTTGGCCATCCTAAAATGTTACACCACATCATCACCCCCACAGTCACATGACCACATTTTGGGCGATTGGTAACTGGCTCGCCTTTATGATCAATTGCCTGACCAGTTGTTTTTTGGTGGTTTCTGGTAAAAAAAACCCTACCCATTTGAAAGAACAGGTTCACATTTATGACTGTGACATTCATTTAATGACTGCTGCAAAAAATGTCATAAAACCAGGTCTGGTCACACGGGTGTCTCAGCTTATGACCATAACAACTTACAACTCGAAATCTGGTTCCAGTTGTGGTTGTGAGACGAGGGCTACTTGTTTATTAAAGCAACCACCCTGGAACTTTCCTATATATTAATCCCAACTTTTCAGTTGGAAAAGATAATTTAATAACATTTGCAATTTATTATCTAAAAATCAAACTATTTTACCTAACATTTTGACAGGTGACAATGTGCCTGCCGTGGTTTGAAAAAAAACCTCAGCCATTATTCATAATGATGAGATAGTATAATTACTTTTTATGTAGATCAGCTCTTCGTTCCCTTTTGGGCTTTCTCCAGCATTTGTAGAAGCCGTCATCCAAATAACATAGGAAGCACCAGCCTCTATGTTTTTTATATGAAAGGGCTGTGAGGCTGGTTTAGAGATCTCTGGAAAAATAAAAAGGTGAAAGAACAATTGTTTCATAGCATAAGCTATTATCAGATCAAGATGCATATCTTTGCCTTTGTGATTTAAGGCAGTGTCCATTTCTTTGGACACAGAGGAATACCTATAATTCCTGACTGAAAGCTATTGATAGAAGAGAATATTTATAAATCAGGGTTGAAATGGTGCCTTCTGAGTATGGTAGTCTTCCTGGAAACATTTCATTACCCAACTAGGTAACATCCTCAGTGCTAGAAGGAACTGGAGTTTGCTGTTTTTTCAGGGATTTGCCCTGTCAGTATTGGGAGGATCGGTTGTTCCTTGATTTAGCTATTGTTTACTGTTAGCTTATTTATCTGATTTGTTAGTTCCTTGACTGAAAGTTGCCCACCCCCACTTTTTTTATATGCATTTTGTTAAGTTAAGGTTATTAATTTTTATAAGGTACCTACCATGGACATCTGGCGGTACAGAAAAGAATTGTTTCTGCAAATAAATCTTGTAACTAGTGATACATCCCATCCGCTGACGTTCTGGAACTTCTCTCCAGGATACCAAAATGCTCCCATTTTTCACAGCTACATTCACAATCTGAGGTCCTGTTAATGGGGCTACAAAGGAAATCTTTGTGAAAAAGTTGATTATCTTAGATCAGAGTTCCCCAGCGTTTCTGGCTTTGCAGACTGGCAGGGAGGGGAGAGGGGATGGTTCCATGTGAGCGGCCAGCAAGTACATGCGTGTGCGCATAGCTCCATTTGCATGAGCAGCGTGCACGCATCCCTGCTGCTCCCTTAAATGGAATGTGTGAGGATGCATGTGTGACTTGCCAGCCATTTCCATGGCCCAGTTGCAAACCCCTCATGGCCCACTAGAGGGCCACAGCCCCCAGGTTGGGGACCCCTGTCTTAGATGATCTCAGACCTTAAGCCAAATCACCAGTTATGGTTACCTTTTGATGAGATATTTTCTGTGGTCACAGCTGCTTTTCCTGCTCTGGCCTGATAGAGCGCAAACACACTGATGTGGTAGCATATGTTGGGCTTTAAATTCTCTAGAAATTAGAAAGCGCTGCAGTCAACTCAAAATGTGGTTGTAAGTCGAGAACTACCGATATAGAATTTTATTTAAGCTTATAGTCCTGAGTACTGGTTGGGGAAGGTTGGCTTGGCTCATCAAACTTAGCTGACTGCAGTGCTTCACAATTGTAGGAGGAGATGGTTTTATTTTTTCAACATGATGTTTGTAAATCATCAATTTGTTGGTGTAGACCAGGGGTAGGCAACCTTGGCTCTTTTATGACTCGTGGACTTCAACTCCCAGAATTCCTGAGCCAGCCACGCTGGCTCAAGAATTCTGGGAGTTGAAGTCCATGAGTCATAAAAGAACCAAGGTTGCCTACCCCAGTGTAGACACAGAGTCATCTTTCTAGATTTAAACAACCATATCTAATGGTGCTGCTGGAAGCTAACAGATTCTTTCCTCCCCCGTTAATTCATTTTTTTTCCTCAACCTGGGTGGCTTTAAGCTATGTGGACTTCAATTCCCATAATTTCTCACTCATTGCTTCTTGGTCCTCTATTCCAGTGGTTCTTAACCTGGGTGATATTGCCCCCCAGTGGGCGATTTCATTTTTCAGGGGGCAATGGAACAAAAAGGGGCGATGGAGCGAGAAGTTTTGGGGACACTTTTGAAACTTTTTCGTACATCGCTGCATATCTGTCGTACAAAAACATCAGATCGCTCACTATTAGTGGATTGAATTGTGTTTTCAAATGTTCCTCCAGCTAGCTTCAGTACAGAATGCCATACATATGTGAATACGCATCGCTTATCTTCATGTGCAGCAGCCTCTACCCTTTTTATATTTCTTTTTGCATCTTAAATTTCACTTGTAATTCAATCATTAAATGTTACTGTTTTTCTTTTTGGGCATTTTGCTTTCTTGTAATTGAATTTTGTTTTCAGTGGTCATTACATTTTAAGTGTCTTGAATAAATAAGATAATCATGAAATACATGGATTACGAAGTTTGGGAATAAAGTGACAGGTGGCACCAAAATTTTTCACACAGTTGAGATATGTGAAAAAGACTGGAAATAAATTATTTGCATTGATATGTCCTGATGACAATTTGAAAGAAAATAAAAAAAGTGTTTGCATAAATTGAAGAATTATTTCCTAAATTGTGATTGAGAGGTTATGTTGGGGGAGGGGGGCGATGACAACTTTCTCATTGGCTCAAGGGGGCGATTCGTTCAAAAAGGTTAAGAACCACTGCTCTATGCTAAAGGCCACATGTTTCAGGTACGTCTTCTGGCTCTGAGATAAATTTAAGAAAGATCAGGACTTTGAGGGATTAAAACTGCACACAAACTTGTTTCTGCTGGATTGATTGTCAATAAGAAAATATTGTCTTGTTCCTTAACAAAATTAAGGAGAAGTTTTTCTGAAGTTTGCAGAACAAAAGTATAGATGCAACAAACATTCTTGTAAAATTATCAGTCTGTTGATGAAAAACCTTGGGAAAAGACTTTAGGGCAGAGTACTACCTATATCAGTGATGGCAAACCTTTTAGAGACCGAGTGCCCCAAAACTGGCTCCGATCCTGCCCCACCCCTACTCCATCCCACCCTGCCTGCCTGCAGGGCCACTCACCGCCTCCAGGGCCCATCACAGATCGCCCAGGCAGACCAGCAGCACCACGGCAGCCACGCCCTCTGCCTGCGCCCCACAGCATCAACTGTGCGTATTGGGGTGTGAGGGCAGAGTCTTTTCTATACTGCCTGGCTGCCATGTCCTTGGCTGCACTGCTCCACATGGGCCATGCTCGGGGGCGACTCTCCTCCAGGGAGGTTGCTGGTGAAGAGGGGGTCACGGGCAGAGGCAAGGTTGGGGCAACGGCACGTGTGCCCATAGAGAGGGCTCCAAGTGCTACCTCTGGCACCCGTGCCATAGGTTCGCCACCACTGACCGATATATTTAATGAAATATCGATTTTAGTATATATTTCTGGATATTTTTAGGGTCTTACTCCATAACAGTGGTAGTACTGGAGAAAAAAAATATTTAAAAATAGCAATCACATAAGCAGTAAGTTATCTGGGAAAACCAGAAGAAAGGATGAGACCAACCAACCTTCCCCAACCAGTGCTCAGGACTATAAGATTAAATAAAATTCAATTTAGGTAATCCTTGACTTACGACCACAGTTGAGCCCCAAATCCCCATTGCTACACAAGATAGTTGTTAAGTGAGTTTTGACCCACTGTACAGCCTTTCTTGCTAGAACTGTTAAGTGAATCACTGCAATTGTTAAGTCATTTATACTGTTGTTAAGTGAATCTGGCTTCTCCTTTGACTGCTTTGTCAGAAGGTCAGAAAAGGTGATCACATGGCCCCAGGGACACTGCAATGATCATAAGCACATGCCAGCTGCCAAACGCCCAAATTTTGATCACCTGATCATGGGGATGCTGCAATGTGTCATTAAGTATGAAAAACAGTCATAAGTCACTTTTTTCAGTGTTGTTGTTGTAACTTCAGTAAACAGTGAACAGTCACTAAACAAATGATTGTAAATTGAGGATCACCTGTAATCCATTCCCGCATATTGTCTATTACAGAGGTCCTCAACCTTTTGAGCACCAGGGACCGGTTCTGTGGAAAGAGTTTTTTGCGCGGACTGGAAAGTGTGTGGTTTTGTGTGCTGCCTGCATCCCACGGATGGGCTTTGCTTGTTTGTGTGGACTGGTTGATGGCATGCTGAGGCCTGTTACCGGTCCATGGACTGGGGGCTGGGGACCCCTGGTCTATTACACTGAGTTGGGGAAGGTTGCACTGACTTGCTGTGGCAATGCTGAACTGTGACTTAATGTGTTAATTTTTAAAACAAACACTTGTTTGTAATTGCTTGTCTAAACTTTCTCATTAGCAATGTGTTTTCCCTGTGACATGAGCTTACCTTTTATTACTGTGCTATTAGAAACAGGAATTTTAAACCATTTGGGGGAGGTGTTCCTGGGATAGTCTTGAGGGACCTCTACCCATGCAACTACATATCCATTGATGAAAGAGGGTGGTGCTGAAGGTGCTTTCCATTTAACAACGATTCTCTCGTCCATGGATGTGGCAGAGACCTGGTTAGGTGGTAGCAGTTCTAAGAAGAAGAAGAAGAAGAGGAAGAGGAAGAGGAAGAGGAAGAAGAAGAAGAAGAAGAAGAAGAAGAAGAAGAAGAAGAAGAAGAAGAAGAAGAAGAAGAAGAAGAAGAAGAAGAAGAAGAAGAAAAAAAAATAGTTGTATTCAGCTCAACTGGAAAGCAACTTCGTCAGTCCTGAAGACATTCAAATTTAGAAATGGAAATACTCATAGAGATGCTAATAAGATGGAATAAGATTTGGAACTCCGCAATGGGACTATAAGTAATCAGGGGCCTGTAATATTAAACTAAAATCATGCTATAAAAATGTCATTAATAGGTAATGCAAAAGAAAATTAAACTGAATAACCCTGATCTGTTCAGTTGCTACTACTGTACTACATTATATGGTGAAGGAATCTGTGAACTAAGCCTATTTAATACGAATCAAAGCAAAATCCACCCCTGGAATTCTTTGTGTGGCCAATAACTAATATTCAATTAGCTTAGTGAGAGTTTAAGTTCTATAAAAAAAATGTACCTTACCTGTAATTCCCAATTTTGTGGTTATGTAGACAGATGGGGATACTCCCCGCGAATTCTTAGAATTAAGTGATATGTTATAATCCACCTTTAGGGAGATGTGCGAGAAAGCAGTGTGGGTGGTCATACTCATTTCTGCATTTCTGGGTGGCATCTGGTTGAGGTTTTGAAATATCACTTGATAGCAAAAGTTTTTGCTTATCGTTTCTGATACATTTACTGACTGTAAAAAAAAAATGAATATTTTTGCATGTCAGTTCAGTGTGTTCTTTCATGTTCCAATACAGGACAATTGGACTAGAACCAAAAAAAACATTGGGTTAAAAAATTCACTGTCATGAAGATGTCTCCTTCTCTGTTTGATTTTCTCTACATCTGGCCAAAGAGGGCCTAAGATAGAGAAGGGGGGGGGTCTTCTGTAGCTTTCTGGAAGAGATGAAGAATGTACAAAGGCTCCACCTTTGCATAGGAAAATGCAGCAGTGAGGACTGCATTCTTTCACAACTATATTACGGCATGAATTGCTGAAACCTCCTTCCCCCCACATCTCCTTTTTTAAAACCAGGATAAGAGGTGTACAGAAACGTTTACCTTCCAGAAGAGAGTAATGTTCTGCATTTCAGAAGAGACCTCCTTCTTTAAATACCAGACATCAACAGGTTCGAACGGCACTGGGAATCAAGAAAAAGAGCTTTGCAATGTAATGTTTATATCAATTTGGGAACAAACTTTGCCAAGTGTTGGGCCACTGGCAGGAAACCGATGGAAGGATGCTACGAATGCTTGGCAATTAAGGATTTACTCCTCCTAACAAAAGAAGTACAAAATGATTTAGCTTACCCAGCTAGGAAATTTCCCCAAAGTTACCAAAACTCAGACCAGAGCCAACACTCCAGAAGACAGGCTTAAGATACAGAAGGATCTGGACGGACTTGAACACTGGGCACTAACTAACAAAATGAAATTCAATGGTGAGAAAAGCAAGGTTCTACATTTAGGCAAGAAAAACCAAATGCACAAGTACAGCATAGGTGGCACCATGCTCAATAGTAGTAACTGTGAGAGGGACCTCGGAGTCCTAGTGGACAATCACTTAAATATGAGCCAGCAGTGTGCTGCAGCTGCCAAAAGGGCCAACACAGTGCTAGGCTGCATTAACAGAGGGATAGAATCAATATCACGTGAAGTATTAATACCACTCTTCAATGCCTTGGTAAGGCCACACTTGGAATACTGCATCCAGTTTTGGTCACCACGATGTAAAAAAGATGTTGAGACTCTAGAAAGAGTAAAGAGAAGAGCAACAAAGATTATTAGGGGACTGGAGGCTAAAACATATAAGGAACGGTTGCTAGAATTGGGTATGTCTAGTTTAACGAAGAGAAGGACAAGGGGGGACATGATAGCAGTATTCCAATATCTCAGGGGCTGCCATAAAGAAGAGGGAATTAAACTATTTTCCAAAGCACCTGAAGGCAGGACAAGAAGCAACAGGTGGAAACTAATCAAGGAGAGAAGCAACCTAGAACTAAGGAGAAACTTCCTGACAGTGAGAACAATTAATCAGTGGAACAGCCTGCCTCCAGAAGCAGTAAATGCTCCAATACTGGAAGTTTTTAAGAAGATACTGGACAGCCATTTGTCCGAAATAGTGTAGGGTTTCCTGCCTGAGCAGGGGGTTGGACTAGATGACCTCCAAGGTCCCTTCCAACTTTACTACTATTACTATTACTATCATCATGGATAGTACACTTAAAAGGAGAGATATCAACATGCCCTGCAACACCAATTTATTTTCTATCTTTTCCCCAGATATCTATCAGGGGTAGGCGACCTTGGCTCTTTTATGACTCGTGGACTTCAACTCCCAGAATTCCTGAGCCAGCCATGCTGGCTCAGGAATTCTGGGAGTTGAAGTCCACGAGTCATAAAAGAGCCAAGGTTGCCTACCCATTATAGGTAGTCCTCAACTAACAACAGTTTGTTTAAAGACTGCACGAAGTTACAACAGCATTGAAAAAAAGTGATTTATGATTGTTCCTCATCCTTATGCTCATTGCAGCAACCCCATGGTCACGTGATCAAAATTCAGATGCTTGACGACTGATTCATATTTGTGACGGTTGCAGTGTCCCAGGGTCATGGGACCCCCTTTTGCGGCCTTCTGACAAGCAAAATCAATGGGGGAGACAGATTCACTTAACAACCATGTTACCAACTTAATTGCGGTGGTTCACTTAACCACTGTTGTAAGAAATGTCATATACAATGGGGCAAAATTCACTTAACAAATGTCTCACTTCGTAACTGAAATTGTGGGCTCGATTGTGGTCATAAGTTGAGGACTTCCTGTATGTTAGTACCCCATCTGGAAAAGGATTAATTGGTCTCAGCTGGCCACAGTCTCATTTTAGGATTAGAGAAGGGAGTATGCCGGGGGTAGGCAACCTTGGCTCTTTTATGACTGGTGGACTTCAACTCCCAGAATTCCTGAGCCAGCCATGCTGGCTCAGGAATTCTGGGAGTTGAAGTCCACCAGTCATAAAAGAGCCAAGGTTGCCTACCCCTGGACTATGCTGTATGAGACTACAGCTAACCATAAACAGCATGTTTTTTTATATATGAGCAAAGTTCCAGCTTACGCATTATCTTCAACTCCCAAATATATCATTGACGCCCAATAGATCCCAGAAGCACTTTTGAGAAATTAATTTAAAAAAAATGAGTGACTGCCAGGGTTTGTCTAGAAATGTGTTTATCTGCCAATAAACAAAGATTTAAGATTAATTTTAAGGGATATAAAATTCCCACAGACGACTAGAGGAGGTTGGAGCAAAGCAACCTACCTTATTTGTCCTTGAAAATGGAGTTTGACTACCATCAATTCCCACCATTTTGTGAATGAGTAAATGCTTGTGGCAGCTATTTTGTGAAAGTGCTTTAGACCTCCCCTCCTTCCCTTAGTTCCCTTTTAGGACATAAAAATACTTTTTTCATTTCTCCCTAAATCCCTATGACGTTATAGCCTGGCCTGAATTAGTTTACCCGTAACTTATTTTTATGCCAATAACAACATAAATGTTAGACATGTGGAGTTATTATTTTACTACCTGCTTCTGTTTGAAATGCAGGGCTCCAGTCACTCCATAAACCTTCTTCCAGAAGAAGCCTGCAGGAAACTTGGAACTCATATTTTATCTTCGGCTGTAGGCCATGAAGATCATACCTTCTAGTATTTATATTTTCAAGCTGGCATGAAAAGAGATGAAAGCACGCATTTACAACTTAATAAAAGCTGTTTTTCTCTGGTAATTGCAATTCCACTGAGAGACAAAGAAGTTTTATTTATGCTCAACAGAACTCTGTAACAATCCTATAAATGCTATAGGATGCCCCAGTTGGGCACTGCAAGAGAGATACATGTTCTTCTTAAATTAAATGCCAGACCTGGCACAAGCATTCACATTTGTTCCTAAATACGTGCTGGGACCAATGCTTCATTATTCTGTAAACACAAATCTCCATCTTGTTTCTTCTCTATACAGAAGTGTGAATCTGCTTTAAAGTTGTCTGTCACTAATGAACATTACTAGGTCTATTAGGACTTCACTGATGGAACAAGGCAGAATTGCAAAACTATTTTTATCATTGGTTGAATTCAGACATTGCACATGCTTTTCTTAAATGTTGTTACCTGAAGATGCCACATTAATTGGATCAACACATCATGTTCCTTTTACATCAGGATATATATTGCATAAAACATGCCACTGATTTCTTTTCTATTGGATGCTTACTATGGGACTGAAAACATTGACATTATATCTGAGTATGACTAAAGCATCACGTTAGTAATATAGAAAATAATACATAACTGTTAAAAATAAAATATCCTTTCTTTCTTTCTTTCTTTCTTTCTTTCTTTCTTTCTTTCTTTCTTTCTTTCTTTCTTTCTTTCTTTCTTTCTTTCTTTCTTTCTTTGTACTGTTATCCAAAGACTGTAATAAAGCAATTTCATTTCATTTCAACATTCCTACCGTAATCCAGGAATTACTGTGGATTGGTTGGTATCTCAGTCTAAAGCACTGTGTTTCTTGCGGATCTTGCCATAAGATGGTGCAATTTTGGGGAGCAAAGGCATCACATCTTACTGAGAGGTCCACAGGAGGGTGAGGCTTCACTGTGTTGTGATGATCAGTGATGCACCAACACAAACAAAAACACAACATTGTTTTGGGAAATAAAATTCTGAGCTATAAGAAACACAACACTGTAAGAGTCCTCAAGACCAGACTATCTAATCTGGTATCTTGTTACCCGCAGTCAGGGCTTTTTTTCCTCATAGAACGCCCAGAACGGAGTTCCAGCACATTTTTTGGATGGAAACTTGTAGGGTAGGCAAGGCGGGTTGTATGACGTGTGAGTTCCGGCACCTTTTTTTTTTTTTTTTAGAAAAAGAGCACTGCCCGCAGTAATATATTAGATGCTACTGAGAACACATAAGTGGGAAATGAGGACAGTACAACCACTTACTTATAAACTTGAAAATTATATTCAGCTATCCATTGTCTATAATCATGGAAGGGACACATATTCTCATTGCTTTATAGAATCATTATCTATTACCTTGTTCCAACTGTCTCTCTGTAACTTTACAGATAGTCCCCAATTTACAAACATTCATTTAGCAACTGTTCAAAGTTACAACAGAACTGAAAAAAAGGGATTTGCAACCTTGCACTATGACCACTGCAGCATCTCCACAGTCATGTGATCAAAATTTGGGCACTTGGCAAGCGACATGTATTTACAAGGTTTGCAGCATCCTGGAATCGTACGATTGTCGTTTGTGACCTTCCCAGCTGGCTTTGACAAGCAAAGTCAATGGGGGAAGCCAGAGTCCCTTAACAACCAAGTGATTCACTTAAACAACTACAGCAATTTGGGGCATGCATTTGAAGAGCTAAGTCCAAAAATTCCAAAAGCAGTCTGGGTGAACAGCACACAGGTTTCTATTTGCTTATTGTTTAAAGATTGGTAGCATAAACCTGACTTTTTAGTAGTTTTATCCTAGCCAAGTTACTCAAAATAAGACACATGAGAGAATTCCCCCTCATTTTCTCCCCATTAATATTACCGCATAAGATAGAGATAATGGGCCTACAAGCGATAATGAATGAATCAATGCCATACAGAAAGCTCCATGACCAATTGGGGAGTTAAACTTAGGTCCTCTCTGACCATGGTCTTATTTAGCCCCTATATCACAACAGGCTTCCTGGAATCTTATTCTGTATACAACACCTGCAGGCATTTCTACATCACTTTGGTTTAAACACCATCAAAAGGCCACCTCCAAAGTTAATTTGTCAAGGGTTGCAAAATACTATTTAGCAAAGGCAGCAAAAAGACTTTCAATACAAGAGTTGTTTTATTTAGTTGAACTGACCAACTGGTTAGGAATTAAATCATTACTCAAAATATTCTTTCCAATAATTTATCAGAATTCCTTATAATTACCAATGTCTATTAATGTGAACTGCATTGGTTCAGAAGAATTGCTCCCAAGTTTATTTGTGGCTTCAACCACAATTGTATAAGTAGTTTCAAAGTCCAGCTTTTTTCTGAGATCTACTGTGTGATCTGTAGTGCTAATTTTTTCTCCCAAGGCTGTTCCATTTGTTACCCTGCAACAAAAAAAGAAACTGAGATAAACAGTGTGAACAATCTTCCCTTCTCCTTCTCCTTCCTCTTCTCACTTTCCTTCCTTCCTTCCTTCCTTCCTTCCTTCCTTCCTTCCTTCCTTCCTTCCTTCCTTCCTTGCCTAAATTAATTTTACACCTATATAACATTGTATGACAGTGACAGAAATTATATTACCACTTAAATGTTCAGTTCATAAGCAAGGACTTGTTTCTTTGTATATAATTTGAATCCGATACTTTTAATTATAATATCCAGTTTAATCATTTACTAATATTTCAGTTATTTTAATTTGTTTAATTTTACTTTGCCCTAATATTCAGTTTAGTCTTCCATGTGATTAGTCAAAACCCCAATGCCTGCCCTCAGACTTACTGACAAATCCCAAGTATAGAATCATAAACTCAGAAAGATGACAAAATGAATAATGAAAATCCTGCACAACTTTTTTTTGAAATCTGCATTTTATATATATCATGAAACCAAACCAAATCAAATCCAGAAGGTGGCAAAATTTCTTTCACATTGTGTTTTTGCATCTGGATTTGAATCAGATATTTCAACCAGTGTTACAAAAGTTTTTGGCATTTTTATTATATCAAAATTCTTTTACATGGTCTCCATCCCAAGCATCTGGTGCATCTAAGAATTGTGAATATTCATGTGATAAAACCCGAGTCTATAGCACCCAGAGATATTTAACTAATGGGCCAAAAAGGGGAAGTGTGTGATCATAAGCCATGATATCTGTCTACAATTGGATAAAATTAGATTTACCAACCATCAAGAAAATCTTCTGATGGGAATAGATGATTAGGGAAGGGAAGAGGAGATTTTTTTTTTTATTCCTGGACTTTCTACTCACAATATAAAGATCTATGCAATTGTGAGGGACAGCCACAGATTTTAAAGCCACAGAGATTAAAAGGAAGCAACAATATCAGCTGGACCAAGTTTATTGAAGGATATCCAACCTACTTTTATCCTCAGAGCTATTCATTAAGGTGAAGGATGCTATTCTTTTTGTAGAGTTAAGTAAGGTTCAGTTCTTCATGGGTGGAGTATGCCATCTTCTCCTTTGCTTCAGACTGTATAATATTTTGAATTAATGGGATCAAATCTTTAAAAAAAACCTTGCAGAGCAAAGATTGATGTTGGGTGTTTATGCCCTAATGGTTAACAACCATGGCCAATATTTTGATCAAAGCTAGCTCAAATTCACATAAGAAAATGGAAACAAAGATGAAGTGATGAAGCAAAATTGGCCAGATATAAACTTAATTATAAGGGAGACAGAACTTACCATAATGTATAGATAGTAATCAGATAGGTATAATATCCTTTATCCCAAGCACAAATGGTGCGTCCATATTTTCCATACTGAGCGCATGATACATTTTTTGGTTGATCTGGAGCGACTTTTAAAAAAGGAAAAATGGTCAGTGGCTGAGATAGGAAATGACTCTTTTGGTTTGAATCTTTGTTGTTTGTAAAAACTCTTGTGTAAGAGTTTATATTTGCATTTGAACACTTCCAGCGTACAGTAAATCCCTGCATCAAAATCTCTTTTGAGGAAAGGCCCGCCACCTGTACAATAAAAATGCATGTATTTCACCAGGGAAGTGAGTTATTATGATTTCATTCTATCTTCCCCATTAATTTGGGAAAAATATAATATTACCAAAAATGGTTTGGTTTTGTAGTGGTTTTCTTAAATGGATCTGATGGGCATTGCAACAAAGCAGTGATGGTAAACACAGATATGTTCAAGCATGACTCTTGTTCTTCTCACTGCAGTCCTATTCTTACAAATAATCCAGCTAAAGTCAAATACTTTATAGCATAAAAGTGGAAAGAGGAAAGACTGTATCTTATTTTCCTAGGCAAAGCCTTGGTGAGACTTACTGATTTCAAATAGAAAATAGAACTGTCAGTGAGATGAATAAAAATTATAGAAAATCTCAGAGGAAGAGATAACACCACATTCCTCTATTCAAGATTTTGAATCATTATAACACATAAGCATTTTTATGAAGCTGTAACTTGGTCAAAAGCAATAATTCTCTTTTGTCAGACAGACATATTGAACAAAGCACCTATCTCACCAAAATCTGCCTTTCCTTGATTACTTCTATTATTCTAATATTAATTTCCCCCAATTAAATTATCCCACCCAAAGGCTCTATCTCATTATGTCTCCTTGGCTACATAAAACCATATATTTGTAACAGAACAGTGTTTCCCAAAGTAAATAAATCCCCCTTCCTGTTTTCTTCCATTTAATTTAACGAAAGTTTTAAAAAGCTTCTTACTTCCAACAAAAACATAAATTCCACATATGAGCTGTAATCTCGATCCTTTGCACTTGCATTCAAATGTCTGCTTCCCAAAAGTATTCAGTAGAATCTGGGTCCTGATTGAAGATTTCGGAGAGCTGCCGCTACTGATAATGGAGTGGTTTTGTAACAGAACTATGTCACAGTTCGAACTGTTGGAACTCCTGTTTAGCCAGCAGGACAGATCCACCGTTGATTTTAATGGCAGCTCTGTGCCATTTGCACGCATGCCTCCCCTGGAAGGCAGGAAAGAACACAACAAGGAGGGCGGTTAAGGTGCAGGATTTTTTTGTTTTGTTATTTCACTCTTCTATGATTGTTTTATTTATTGGTTTTGTTTTTGCGAGCTGCCCAGAGTTGCAGCCATATAAAAGGGCAGCCATATAAATCTTTTAATAAATCAGGGGTTGCCAGAAAGAAGAGGGAGTCAAGCTATTCTCCAAAGCACCTGAAGGCAGGACAAGAAGCAATGGATGGAAACTAATCAAAGAGAGAAGCAACCTAGAACTAAGGAGAAATTTCCTGACAGTTAGAGCAATTAATCACTGGAACAACCTGCCTCCAGAAGCTGTGAATGCTCCAACACTGGATGTTTTTAAGAAAAGACTGGACAACCATTTGTCTGAAATGGTATAGGGTTTCCTGCCTGAGCAGGGGGTTGGATTATTATCATCATCATCAACGACAACAACAACAAAAATATTATTTCTTGCAACATAAATAAACTGGTTTTGGGTACCGTATGTTTTGTCCTGTGCCAGTAAAAATGCTTGTGTTGGATGCCCCCAACATGGCAAAACAAATAGCTCATAACAGGGACATTTACAGAAGAAGTAAAAAAGAAAAAAAATCACAGTTGTGGCTGCAACTCCATTGTCAATCATTTATGGTCTTGGCTCCCATTAATCTCATCTTTACTCTTATTCCAAACCTTAATCCTGGAGGTTATATTCAAAGTCTATCATCAGAGTAAAGTGCTATCTAGTCTTTTTCAGCTGGTGTTCTCCCCAAAAAATGTCGGATTCAGGGTCTTTTTAAGTTCAGGACCCAATTATTCTTGGGTGCCTATTGTGCTGAGTGACCTAAATTGATTGGGGATTACCGGAGTAAAATATAAGGCATAAGGAGCACCAGATTGAAGGAAGGTACTCGAAAGTCGAAGCCTGTTCTTTTTTTTTTTTTAACTTTCTGCAAAACCAAGTACCTATTTTCTCTCTATTTTTGTCTCGTTGTTAGCCGTTAAAATATTGTTGGGCAAAACAAGGAATCTCCTACCATTGCCCTGCTTTCAAATTGCCTCCTAACCAAGCTTCCAGTGTTTATGAATGCAGTGAAGGAAGACAAAATAGTGGCTTCACTTGCCCATGAGTTGCAACTTCCTGGGTGTTCTCTTTTTTCCCTATTGAAGGGAAATCACACACACTTCTCTGAAATGGTTGTACAGGTGAGTAACTTACACCATGAGATAGTGGGCTGTCGGCACCGAGAGAGAAACATGGAGGTGCAGAGGAAGAAAGGCTCTGCCAAGCTCTAATGCTGTCATCTCCACCCATTCTTATCTCTGCTTCCTCCCATTTTTAACTTAGAAATAGATTTGGAATCAATAGATCAATATATATAGAACTTTTAGGGAAAACATTTCACGCAAGCAGTTTAGCTTGAACTTGGACTTTCCTGACTGAAATTCTCACTGTTTGTACGTTGTATACCAAAAATAGCAGAACCACCACCATTTCCTTTATGTGTGAGAACTGAATGGAAGGTGAGGCAAGCCACAACACAGCTTTTGCATGTCACACAAAGCAGGGGCATTAGAGAGGATTTGCTAGAACACCCAAGCGCTGCCAGAAAGGAGATCGGACAAGCCAGAAAATGCCTGTTTGCAGGGCCCATCCTGATTCTTTACTAGACACAACTAGACTAGAAATGGAACAAGGTTTCAACTCTAAAAAAAAAATGCAAGAAGCTTACTTCTCCAATAGCTGTTTGTCCACAAAATAGTCTGCCTCTGCCTCAGTGGATGTCACAACCAACTGTAGAACAATCATAAAAGGAATTCTGCAGGGTGGTTGTAAATAATTTTAGTTAATAATTTCAGCCACCTTTAAAACACCCTATAGCAGGGGTTTCCAAACTTGGCAACTTTAAGACTTGTGAACTTCAACTCCCAGAATTCCCCAACCAGCATGTGCTGGCTGGGGAATTCGGGAGTTGAAGTCTACAAGTCTTAAAAGTTGCCAAGTTTGGAGACCCCTGCCCTATGGGCAGAAGGATACGAAATTTATTTTGGATTTTTTAAAACTGTTTTTATTGTTTGCAATAGTGGCGAATATCTGTAGCTCGGGTATAGGATGAGGGTGAAGTTTCCTTCTCCGAGCTTGAGGGCTGGTTTCCCAATGTTTCGTTACCATGCTAGGTAACATCATCAGCGGAGTTTAAGGGGTGGCTGTGTCAGTGCTCTTCTGTTTATTATAAACTCCCCAGAATAATTTCTCCAACGCATCAAACACACCAAGATGAACAAGGAAGCAATTATGGTCTCCTTTGACATCACTGCCCTCTTCACCTCAATTGGCATCGACCTGGCTAAACAAACCATACACCGCCTACTCACCAAAGACCATACCCAAAAAGATGATGTCACTACAGCACACTCCATGTCCACGGAAACCATCATGAAACTCCTGGATCTATGCCTCGACGCATACTTCAATGGGAAAATGTACGAGCAAGTACAAGGTACCCCGATGGGATCTCCCATATTAAGCCTTATAGCAGAAGCAGTCATGCAACAACTCGAATCCATAGCTCTACCTACCATCCAACCAAAATTCTGGACTAGCTATGTGGATGACACCTTCGTCACCATCAAATGCTCCCAAATGGAAGAAATACACCACCTACTGAATGCTTTTATGCGACGGTTTCCGCTTGCATTCTTCTGATAGCAAAACGTTTACTCCTAGAATAAAAAAGCACAAAGGTGGTTCATAATAAACAATTCAAAGCCTACGCCATTATAAAAGCAAAGAAATTGCAGGAGGATATTACAGCAATTAGGGCAATGCTCTTTGGTAGCATTGCCTCCAACAGAAAGCAAAGCTGAAATTTTTTCAAAGTTGAGGAGATCTAGTGCAGTGGTGGGATTCAGCCAGTTCGCACCCCTTCGGCAGAAGCGGTAGCTAATTTTTTGTTGCCCAGGCCCAGAATGGACTTCCGGAAGTGGCATCCACACAGAGAACCGGTTGTTCACATAATTGAATCCCACCACTGCCCTAGTGGACTTAAACCTCTCATAGTTAAGAAATGAGAGTCCAGATCCTCTTCATACAAACATAGCTCTTTCTCCAAATTTGCTGTTCAGACTTTCTGGTGTTTTTTCCAAATACCGATTCAATAGCTCTATAGCTGACTATACATTGTCTATATCAAATCTGTGTTGCCATTATTTGTATTCCCAAACTCTAATCCCAGGCTTTTTTTACTTAATATGATCAAGACCTCTATAGTTTGGATGGAGCCATTTGTTCATACATTACGCTCCTCACTTGGCAGAAGATTTGTGATGTTTATTCTGATAGGATGGGAATATTTTTCTTTCTGTGACTCTTCTAGATTATTGGCCTTACTGAAGATACGTAGGCTAAAAAAATCAGAGATTTCCAGAACTCACTTACCTGCTCCCAAGAATACTAAAAAACACATTTTTAAAGGCAAGCTTCCTATGTCAAGCATCTTGATATCTTCTGCTGAATTTTTACTCCTGTTTTTTGTGTGCTTGTTTTTTAAAAACTAATTATCAGTACATATAGTCAGCAAATAATCCTTTAAGAAGGAAGACACTTTCATATTTTTGGCACCGTACTCAAAAGCTGGATTTCATCAGAAGCAACCATACTGCATAGGAATGACGAAGCGTGGATATTCTTCTAGAAACAGATGTTTGTGCCAAGAAACCAAATGGTTTGTATCCAGGATTTGTCTTTTCTTTCAGAATCTTGCCTTTCCCAAGCTGTATTTTCTTCGTTTCTTCTCTACCCACCCACCTCTCGGTTCAGGAACAATACTTGATGATTTATGCAACTTGTCATGAAATGTATTTCTTTGAGTTCTTTTTTGATTATGAGCAATATTTCCCAAGTTTTGTTTCTGGGTTCATGAAGACTGAAATGAAACAGAGATGAGAATTAGATGAAAAGCCTTATCAGGTTTATTATATTTATTTTGAAAGAATAGGAAGGAAGGATACATATTTGACTCAGCTAGAAAATCTCAGTGCCAAATGGATGTGATGTGAATCCTAATTTTTTTAGGATGACCTGCTCACCAAAGCCTGTGTCCCCACCCCAAGAAAGAACTTGCTTATGTCTGCCTAGCTTCTTAATATTAGAAGGTGTCAATGCATGCCCTATCGCTAAGAAATATTGGTCTAAGATCCATAGATGGTTCGAAAAGATGATGAAACTACAGATAGAATTTAAACCAGAATTGTTTTTGTTAGGAATATTAAGACCTAATTATGGCAAAGAGAATGACTACTTGATATTGTATGTTTTAACTGCTGCAAGGATAGTATTTGCCCAATTTTGGAAAAATGAGAATTTACCATCTGACCAGATTATTATTACCAAAATTTTAGAGTGTGCAGAAACGGATAGACTGACATTAGAAATGAAAGAAAAAGATGATTCAATTTATTTTAGAACTTGGGAAATTTTTTATCAATGGTTAGAGACACGTTAGAACTTGAAGGATTCAATATTTTAGAATAGATGACTGATTTTTAATCGAGTTCTAACTAACATTTTGACGATATGATTACTTTTCCTGATTTACTGATTTTCATTTGTTACTTTTGATTGTTAGGATTTTTTTTTGAGATTTTATTAGTAGTGTTTACTTAATAGATCGATGTATTTGTTTACTAATTGTTTTTAATATGTTACAGTTTAAGCTTTGTTAAAAATGGTTGAATATGATATTTACTCATTATTATGATCCGAACGATTGCTTGTTTGTTGAAATATGTGATTGTACCTATCCTTATTTTACCCTAATTCCTTATTTCCTTCCCCTCCCCCTTTCCTTTTACCCCTCCCTTTACCATACCTGTATTGTTCCTATTTTTCCTCACCTATATAAACTTAATAAAATTTTGTTTAAAAAGAAGGTGCCAATGGTTGCCACCAATATGGTTTGTGGAGGCCATCGATAAATCATAGGTGGTGC